AAAATAATGAACACAAAGGGAAAGATGAGAGGCACCCTACATATGTTCTCTAGGCCTTTTAGAAAACATGAAGTGGTTCCTGTAACAACATATATGCTTATCTACAAGAAATGTGATATTGTAGACATCAAGGTAATGGGTACTGTTCAAAAACAATGCCCACAAATGTTACCGTGGCAAAACTGGAAGAGCCTACAATGTTACCCAGCATGTTGTTGGCATTGTTGTAAACAAACAATTTAAGGGCAAAATTCTTGCCAAGTGTATTAAGCACATTAAGCATTCTAAGAGCAGAGATAGCTTCCTAAAACATGTGAAGGAAAATGACCAGAAAAAGAAGTACCAGCTTGCTCTGCCCAGAGAAGCACACTTTGTGAAAAGCAATGGAAAAGAGCCTGAGCTACTGGACTCTATTCCCTATGAATTCATGGCATGATGGTTGTTAAAAATAAACAAATGAATGGTGTCTATAAAAAAATACTATGAGTGACTATACACCAATGAACAAGAAAACCTGGATGAAATGAACAAAACTTAAGTAAGTAAATAAATAAATAAAACTAATGGACACATTTCTGGACACATGCAATTTACCAAGACTGAATCAAGAAGACATGGAGGGACCAGCAGTTACGTAATGACTATGTTGCTGGACTCCCACGTAGTCGACCAAGGTTCGAGTCTCAGACCTGGTGGCTTAAACTCACGCCAGGTGTGTGTGTGCATGCGTGCCCAAGATCCCAAGAGGAGAATGGAGGAGAAGGGATTGCAGCGTGGACATGTGCCCTGGGGGGGTGATTTCCTGCTTTCTGTCTCTCTGTCTCTCTCTGTCTGTCTGGCGAGCGCACGTGCCCTATAGCAAAAACCTCTCCAAAGAGAAGAAGAAGACAGGGAAAGCCTAAAGAGACCAATAAGAAACAATGTGATAGAATCAGTAATAAATAGACTCCCAACAAACAATAGCCCAGTTCTCAATGACTTCACTTCTGAATTCTATGGAATTTTTAAAGAGCTAACTCAGTGTACTATTTCTAAAGACCCAAAAGGAATAAACTCTCCCAAACTCATTCTATGTAGCTCCCATCACCCTCATCCCTGAATAGACAAGTACATAACACAACAAAAAAACTACAAATCAACATGCCTGTTGAATATAGACACAAAAATTCTCAACAAGTTACCAGCAAACTGTATCCAATGACAAATTTAAAGACTATGTACCATGTCCAGGTAGGCTTTATTCCATGGATGCAAAGGTGGCTTAACATATGTAAAACAAAAATATGTAATACATTATATTAACAGAAAAAAAGATGATATATGATCACATCAACTGACACACAAAAAGTATCTGATAAAATATAACATCCCTTCATGATTAAGACTAATGAAAATCAGAATAGAAGAAATTCTTCTCAATACAATAAAAGCAATTTGTGAAAAACCCTTATAAGAGTTTTCTGAGTGGGCAGTAAATGAAAGCTTTTCCACTAAACACTGGAACAAGACAAGGCTGCCAACTTTCTCCTTTCTTCTTCAGTATAATGCTGCCAAGTCCTAGTCAATGCAGTCAGACAAGAGATATTCAAACAGGACAAGAAGTAAAATTATCTCTTTTTATAGATGACGTGATATATACATAGAAATCCAAAGGAATTCACAAAAATAATTCTGAAAGTAATAAATAAATACAGTAAAGTGGCAGGATAGAAAATCAACATACAACATTCTATAGAACATTTATGTACTAATTGTGACAAGACTGGGGTATCCTAGAACTGAAAAAAAACAAGCCCATTTATGATATCCACAAAAAGCATAATATATCTAGAAATAACACTAACCAAAGACCTTTACAAGAAAAATTATTGAAAAACTACAAGGAAAATTGAAAATGATACAAAATGTGGAACGACATCTCATGCCCTGGATTAGAAGGATTAATATAATCAAAAAATCTATTATACCAAAATTAATCTATATACTTAATGCAGTCTTGATCAAATTACCAGAGCTGTTCTTCACAGAATTAGAAAAAACAATCTTTTTTTTAATAATCATAAAATTTTACTGGAATCATCAAAAGCCCCACATTGTCAAAGCAATATCGCACAAAAAGAATGAAGAAGGATGCATCTCACTCTCTGACCCCAAAACATATTACAGAGCTGTGATAATCAAAATTGTGCGGTACTTGCACAATAACAGGCATGTAAACCAATGCAACAAAATTAATCCTGAAACATGCAGAATTGATTACTGACAAAGGACATAAGACAAGTCAATAGGGAAAAGAAAATCTCTTTAGTGAGTGGTGGAGGAAAAACTGGATATTCACCTGCAGAAAAATGCAACTGGACCCCTATGCCTCACCATTAACAAATTTCAACTCAAAATGGATCAAAGATCAAAACATAAAGCCTCAAACTATAAAACTACTGGTACAAAATGCAAGAGAACTTCTTGGAGACATCACAGTAGGCAAAGACTTCTTAAATAAGATTCCCAAAGTACAGGCAATAATCCTGAAAATAGACAAGCAGAATTATATCAGGTTAAAAAGCATCTATGTAGCAAAAGACACAATAATAAAAATAAAGAGACAGTCATCAGAATGGAGAACACATTTACAAACTAAGCCTCATATAAGGAACTGATAACCAGTATAGGGAATGTCAGCAGTTTACCACTCAAAAAAAAAGTAAAAAAAAAAAAGAAAAAAAATCGAATTAAAAGGTAGGCAAGTGAGCTGAACAAACAAACTCTCCAAGGAAGACACACAGTCAAAAAGCATATGAAAAACTGTTCAACATCTCTTATCATAAAAGACATGCAAGTCAAAACTACAATGAGATACTACCTAACGCCAGTCAGAACAGCTAAGAAAAATAAAATATGATTAGTGCTGGTGAGACTGCAGTGGAAAGGGAATTCTAAACTGATGGTGGAAAAGTAAATTAGTTCAGGCACTGTGCAGAACAATATGGAGGTTTCTCAAGAACCTACAATAAATCTACCATATCATTTGGCAATTCTATTCCTGGTTATCTGTCCCAAAGGACAGAAATACACAGAGTTGGAAAAACATTTGCACATCCACAGTTTTTGCAGCCTTATTTACAATTATAATTTTTCTTTTTCTTTTTTTTTTTTGGAGAGGTTTTTGCTATAGGGCACGTGCGCTCACAAGACAGAGAGAGACAGAGAGACAGAAAGTGAGAAATCACCCCCCAGGGGGGATGGTCATGCCACAATCCCTTCTCCTCCCTTCTCTCAGGATCTGGGGCATGCACGCACATGCTCCCAGTGTGAGTTTTAAGCCACCGGGTCCGGGATGCGAACCGCAGTTAACTACGTGGGAGTCCAGCAACATAGCCATTACGCTAACTGCTGGTTCCCTGGTCCCCAGCCTTATTTACAATTATTAAGACATGCATCAACCTAAATGTCGAAGAACAGATAAATGCATTGAAAAAGTGTGGCACATATACACATGAAATACTACTCAGCCATAAAAAAAAAAAATGAGACACT